ATATAACTTGTCACATCCAAATACAATTTACATATTTCAATTTCTGCCAAGATATTCTTTTTCCCTACATTTTTTATCTTGCCTTAGTATTTCCTATACTTATTATATAAACAGTATCACCATCCGCCCTTCAAATCCTAATTTCTTAACATTACTTCAATTAATTATCTTATCCATTGTTAATCATACATATTCTCTTTTAACTTTCATATTAGTTCATTCTTCATCCTAGTAAGTTTAAGTATACTCAGGGTTGCCCTTCTACCATTCCATCTCCTTTATTTTAAAACAATCCTTCTTCTCCTTCTCCTCTCTTTCCCTTCTCTCCCTTCTTCTATCCTTTTCTATTTTATTCTTTTATTTACCTCAGAGCACTTTTTTTGAAGTTTATTCAACAAGTCTTAGCCATTTATTTGGCCTAGATTTTATTGATATTTATGAATTTCTACAATGGATTGAGGAATTGGGTTAATTTTATATTTTTAAGAAATTGAAAGAGATTGATGAAATTGATATTAATTATATATGCAGCATTACAATATAGCAATGAATCTGGATGTTATGTTCGGTAATAATGAAGACTGTCTTTAAATAATATGAAATTAATTTAACTATATCCTTAATTTACATCTCATCTTGAATAGTAACAATTTTCAAATATATGTATTTCTTTAGCACATACTTCTTCATTTACTGCCTCGTAAGAATTTAACTTATGCTGCGTTGAGGAAAGTTTAGAATAGTGAACTGTATTATTTAACAATTATCTTAACAATTTGATGTGGTGAAGTACAACATTCTGGTAATATTTCTGAATAGCATTTTATATCACAATTCAGAATGTACAATTCAGAAACTTCAAAGTTAAGTTTATGAAAAATGAATAAATGTCCTTATCTTTAAGCATAGTTGAAATTTATATTGCAATTCTTTAATATGTATATTAAAATTTCATATTGGATACTATAGTGTAGTTAGAATTCTTGAGACGATGCTCTTCTAAAATTGAATGCCTTAATTACAGATTTTTTAAGTTTTTACCCATAAATATATATCTAGTGAAATGAAATGCTAGTAGTCTACATTTTGAAATAATTAATACCATTTTATGTTCCAAATATTGCCTAAATTCATATCAGATGCAAAGTCTTTATGTAGTCAGTTTTGTTTAAGTATACATTGGTGAAAGAAAGATCTTTTAAAGTTATTCATAATCCTGGAATACAGTAACCTATGATATTGTTTTGGGGCTGTTTCTATTGCATGTATTGAAGTAAGCTTCAACTGCTTACTTCAATACATGCTACAACGTTTCAGCTGGATTAAGGCCAATCCACTATTTAGGATGGTTGATGTGCTTCGTGAGCACATATACTCATTATGTATAACTGAACAGTCTCCTGGCTACTGGTTTTCTACTGTGTTCTGAGTTTTCTACAGGCACAAGATCCCACCCCCCAAGACAAACCCCTGAACATTCTGGTTGCCCCTAAATTCTGAAAAATAGAATTTCCTTAGTCATTAAATAGTATATATTCTCTAAAGAATATGCAGGGAAATTAAAATGGATTGGTATTTTGGGGTGGTACCATTAATAAACTTTGTGAGCAAAGAGAATAAAATCCATTTGGAGTTTATAACTTGCTAAGCAGTTCAGCAATTATTGTTATAAGTCTCATACTATCTTCACTGTCTAAATGCTTTCTCCAATTTTGATCTTGTTATCACTTTGTAATAGAGGTATGTGGTCTGATCATATACAAATAGAAATATTATTTAAAAGTGTCTTTTTTCCTATGTTGCAGAACATAATTGTGTGAATTCATGTGTCTGCTTGGTGCAAATTAATAAAGAAATATAAAATTGTGTTACTCAGTTGTGGTGCATACGTGTGTCTTCTGGGGTTTATTTATTTATTTAGCACATGGTAATATTACATTAGCCAGGAGATTACAATGCTAATACAGAGTAGCAGTTTGGCTGCCTAAGGCTGCCAGCCCTGTTTGGTTCATACTCATGTGTTTTCCAAGATGTGCCACAGGGGGTGAGCTAATTCCACTCCAGAAATTAGCCTAGACTACTGGCCTTTCTGCAGCATCATCTGGGGCCCTCTTCCTATACTGAAGCCACCTTGCCAACGGGTATCATAGTTGGAAAGGTGCAGCACAAGCAGGATTCTTAATTGTCCGCATGAAGCACCAACTTGATTCCCGCTATTTACTTGCAAATAACATGCTTTTGAACTGCTAGATGGCAGAAGCTGAGGCAAGTGATAGGAGCTCACCCCAACACACAGTGTTAGGACTTGAACTGCTGGAACAAAGACCATCTCCAGCATGTTAAGTCATTGAGTTACTATGCCTCTTTTTCTTCTAGGGTAAATATGTGAGAGAACAGGTTTGCAAAGGAAGAAAAATGGAAGATGATGCTTAAAAGGCTTCAGCCAATAATTCATAATGGGAGAAATCCATTTAATTTCATTATATTTATGTAAAACATGTACATTTTATGCTGCAAGCCATGTTTATGTACGAGCGAGTCATCTTGTAATGGATTCATTCTAAGTGGCATCACAAATGGTGAATTTCCTGCACAGTTTTTCAACTTAATAATATTCAATTTCTGTATGTATCTTAGATATATATCCATCAGTATAGAAATATTTTTATTTTTTTGATTGGAGTTAATAAATATTTATATACTATGAATATTTTTCCAGTTCATTGGCTACAAACTGGTATACTTGCAGGCAGTACAGAAAAAGATGAAAACAGAAAAATTGAACATTCCAGTACTGTTGCTGTTGTTTTAATTGTACAAGTCCTTAGAAATTAAGTTCAAGATAAAATAAGAAGTGTAAATAATATGACAGCTTTATCAACTTTCATTTTATGTGGACTATCAAGGAAATAAATCAAATGGATATGTTGAACATGAGCAATAATAACAATAATAGCAATAATATGAATCCAGAAAAATTACATGGACATCTGGAAACAAACATTCCAATCTGAAAGACGAAAGCCCCAAGTGTTTCAAAAGAAAATGTGCTGAATTCCATAAAAGAATTTGTGCAACAACAAAAGTGTCTTTAAAACTTGTTATCTAGTGATTTATCATATAGCAAAAGCAGGTGAAGCTTATACTTTTGCAGAAAACTTGGCTTATCCATGCAGAAAAGATGTAGTAGAATTCATGATTGATCATTTTTAAAAACAATGAATATGTACCACTGTTTGATAATGATGTGTAAAGGTTATGTCAATTTTTTGTGACAAGAAACTAATAAAACAAGTAAAACAGAACACAACAGTGTTTCCCTTTCAAGCAGATGAGTCCACTGATGTTTCAAGTTTAGCAATCAAACTTGTATATTTGCTTATGTAGAGTCATTTGTTGAGGAAGAGATGCTTATTTGCAAGTCTCTGGGATCAAAAACATTTACTTCTATTATGAAGGAGCATAACATTCCTTGGAATTTGTGTAGCAGTATATATACAATGATGGAGTAACAGATGTAGTTGATTGTAATAATGTCAAATGCTGTGGCCTGCATAGAAGAATAGCTCCACATATTGTCATTCATTGTCTTTATTGTTATGTACTTGCAGAGAAACATATGCCATAAGAATTCAATGTTGTACTCAACAGTTAAAACTGAATTTTTTAAAAGCAAAATTTACAAAATTCAGTTTTAACTGTTGTGTTCAATCTTGAATTCATTCTCTGGATATTTACTGTGCTATGTAAACAAATGGGGAGCCCGCATAACTAATACAAAGTGAAAGATGGCTGTTTTATGGAAAAATGTTGGCATGGTATGGACCGCAAGTTCAGGTTATCTGAGGTACTGTCTCTTGCCGGTCACATCACCTGACCCACTAGAATGGGGAGGCAAGGAATATTGTGGGTCCTGTCCCCTGAGGTGGTACATTTAACAGGACCCACAGGAACAGCCTTCTCCGTAGAAGCACTAGGTGGTTTTGTATTAACATACAATTAGAAATTATGGTTCTTCAGTTTCTAGCTTGATGCCTTAACTGCTACATTATACTAGCTTTCTTATAAGTCACAATACTGTAAGATTATAGATCATTCTAAAAGTTCATAAATTTTTTCTCACCTCAATGTCATGTTCTCTTATCTCAATGTCATGTTGCAAAACTTCAACCATGATTTCTAAACTATGATTTTTAGTTACTCTTTTATCACTTTTTGAAGTATTTCTACACCATGTTTATGAAGCCATCTAATATGATGAAACCCATCTGAACAATGTTGAATAAATCCATCCATATGTTAAATTAAGGTTTAATATAGTAAGTGAACCCTATGGCAAATAAATAAATAAACTGATAAGATGCTTTAGACCTCTACAGTCAAATTTCCACCCAACTAGGAACTTCATTGACTGCTAAATTGGCATTTGGTAGTATAAGTTTAATGTACTAATGCATTTGTTGCAAAAATAGGATGAGATAAAAAGGCCCAGTAAGATGATGATAGGCTTCTTGTTTACTTTGTATGTTCTGCATGTAAGAACATACAGATAGTCCAATATAAAATAAAATGAAACAGAAAATATCTTAATTTTTCAGATTTAAAAATGTATTTTGTGTATAGTAGCTAAACTTTTCTGTGATACTTTGATAAATTAATGAGTAAAGAATGAAAACTTCACATGAGTAAAGCAACAAAAACTTATAAATTGTTTAGAAATTAATTTTTTTAAAAAAGTTGTTCCGGGAATGAATGATTGGTAAGCCTAAAACTAGAAAAGTTTCCAATAGAATATATGCATGACTGAGTTTAAATGAAATATAACTTACATTACTTGCTTTTTTATTAAAGAATGTTAATCTTAGACTAAAAGTTGCACTTACAATTAATAGTACAATAAATATTGTTTATAGCAACAGTTAAAGATGTGCAAATTAAAAAGCATGACATTCTCAGTCTCTCATGTTGATGTTTTGTGACACTTTCCATTTGTCTGATAGCCGCAGCAGATGACAGATGTTACAAATATGCAGACTGTGCCAGTTGTACTGCTAATACAAATGGCTGTCAATGGTGTGATGATAAGAAATGCATTTCTGCAAACAGTAACTGCAGCATGGTGAGTGTTGATTAATACATTGTGGTTTTGTTAATGGTTCTGCTTTGTAATCATTAGCTTGCTCTTTGGTGCCATCAAATGTAAATGTCATATTAAAATCAGAGTTTGATAATAATGCTGAATTAACATCATACATTAATTGCAAATGTATTTAATATAATTGAAAAGAGAAATAATGAAACTTGTACAGCAGTTATTTTCCCATTTTCCTTGCCAATAAAACAAAGCACTTAAACTTGAAATAACTAATTTAATAACTTAATATACTCTGAAGCATTCTTCATATCTAACCATTTGGGAAGTATGAATCATAATCATGTAGAGGCCTTTTGGCTGTTTTCCCCTTCTTCATAAACTATGCTCAAATTTGCAAGATTAGTGCAGGTAAAAAAATTATGCATGTCAAATAATCAAAATATATTTATCAGAATAAAATAGAAGTTCATAACCACTTCAGTTTATCAGGAAAAAATGTTCATAGTTAATATTCAAAATGTTTCTCAAATTAATGCATATTTACTGGTAAAGAGTACCATTGAAATAATAGAATCGTCGGGCTGAAAGGGTCCTTGGAAGTCTTCTAATCCAACCCATTTTGTATTTTGGAAACCAAAAAGAGATACAATATTGCAAACACAGTCTGACAAGTACTGCATAGAATGAAACAATTGATTCTTCTATTTTTGACATGATATCTCTGCTGATGCAATCCAAGATTTCATTGTCTCTTTTGGCCAACTTGTATACAGTGCTAGTTGGCACTTAATATATGGCCTATCAAGACGCTGATATTTTTCACAAAAGTACTATTGCTGACTCAAGTAGCTTCCATCTTGTAGCCGAACAGCTGATATGTCATACTTTAGTGTAGAAACCTAAATTCCTCACCACTGAACTGCATTATCTCCAAGTTGTATCATCATCTCTCTAATATATATGCAAATATATTTCAAATTTCGATAAATTTCCTTAAAAATGTCATAAAAATGTCATAAAAAATGTTGTTGAGCTTAGAATAGAACCCTGAGGTACAATGCTGACAACTTTCTGCTTTTAGATTTAGATCCATTAAGGACCATGTATTGGATATAGTTGTTCAACCAACTGCAAATCCATCCGATACTCCATCCATTTTACATTGTTTCACTTTATTCAGAAGCACACTGTGGTCAAGGTCTAGGTACATTATAACCAAAACATTCCCTTGGTCTACTAATCTAATTACTTTGTCATACACATAAAGTAAAATTTTTCTGGTGCAATCCATGCTAGCTGATAGTAATCATCTTTTTTTTCTTTTTGAGGGCTTGCAAATCTATTGATTGTTATCTTTTCCAGGATTTCCCCAGGTTTTGATGAAAAACTAATTGATATGTAGATTCCTGGATCAACATTTTCCTTTTAAAAAAATAAAGGTTGGAACTATTTTGCAATTTTCTGGTACTTCCCTTATACTTCAGCAGTTTTCAAAGATTAAAGTCAGTGATTTTGATATCACATTTTGCAGTTCCTACCCTCAAATGTATTTCATCCAGAGACTGGATTCGTTCATTCAATTCATTCAAAGCAGCTAGCCATTGTCTCAACATTTCCTTATCTATTTTGACCTGACTTTTTTTTCTATGCTGTATGGGACAGCTTATAATTTTCTTTTGCAAACAGATAAAAACAAAGTATAACTTAAGCAGTTTAGCAGCTTGTTGCGTACCCATCTTAGCATGTTTTCCAAACAGAAGATCTTTCATTTCCTGAATTTCCTGTTCTCTGAAACCTCAAGAAAAATTTAGAGTTGTTTTTAGCATTCTTGCATGCCTCAGCTCATTCAGAGTCTTAGCCTTCCCATCTTTACAGATTCAGATAATTTCTTGATGTTCTGTTTGTACTATATGATCCTCTTTCCATTTTTTAAACTAATCCTTTTTGTATTTCAACATAGAGAATGCTTTATATAATTAACCCGGTCTCATCAGCTGTTTCCTGATATTTTCCTTTTTTGGGGTTTAGTGTTTGGGCCATAATCATATCTCTTCCCCCACCCCGAATTTGCTCCTGAATTGTTTTTTCATTTCAGGATTTCTATCCTACTTTTTCATTTGTCCCTACAGAATACAGTTGGTCTTATTCTGAAGAAATGTATAGAACTGCAAAGAAATAGTTTTTTGGCTTCAATGTGGAATGTAGAAGTAGTTATGATATGAATTGGACGTTCTTCTTGATGTTGCTGGTCTGTATCTCCTAAGTTTTCTCACTGTTCTCCATGCGGACGTAGGTTATTACAAATTGGTTCAGCATTATCTGATGGGCCTTCGACTGTCCTACTGTTAGTATAAATGAATACATTAATAAATAGAAAGATTCATGAGGATAAATTGCAAAGTTAGATCAGGAACAATTTGGAGCATTTGTGCAGTTTGCTAATGGAACTAACTATCTTGTTTAAGAGATAGTGACTTCTCCCTTGAGGGGAATGTTCAAGCAGAGATATCCATCTTTGATGATTTTTTAAATTGAATATCTGAATTATATTAGGTATTGAATTTAAGGCCAAAGTAGCATAATTTAATATAACTCTAGAGTTTAAAGAGTCTGTATATTTAATTTTGAATATCAACAATAGTACCTTAATTAATACATTTTGGAGATGCATATTTTGTTCAGGTTAAAGCTTGATTATTAAATACAGTAGTCAGGACTGACTTTACAATAATAGTGTATATTCTCAAAGCAGTGCTTGCTCTTATTAATACTATTGTCTTTTGTTTTGATATGACTTTAGAGGCATATAACATTGTTTTTAAGAAGATTTTCATGCTGTTTAGTTTCCTGAATTTAATAAGAGAGTATACTTAAACCTTCCTTCCTTAGACACTTCTTACCACCTTGATATATGTTCCCTTGGGTGGGAAAAACATGAAAATTCTTATCAACAGTGATGGACTTTACTTATGTGTTATCGGTGGCATACAGTAGTGCTTTTGACAGAAAAATAAAATTACTTGTGATAAGGCAAAGTCTCAGAAATATATAAGAATATTGTGGATATTTCTCTGAGTCGATGAAACCATTTATGGGTATGATAACTATTTATCTTTAAAAACACACAAATATTGGAAAAACTGCATTTACACAAATACTTAAAAAAAAACAACTTCCAAATAGCAGGTTATGTGATTTTTCATATATGATGCTTAGAATAGAGAAGGTAAACGATCTAGATAAGAAATGAAGAAAGAGAAAGAATATTATATTATATATCATTTAAGGCCTGCTAGGCAAGGACAGCTGGATAACAAACAGAAATTATAGTTTAGAATTTTCCCATATCATCTATTATCTTTATTGAGAAAGCAATGAAGCTGAAATTTCAAACTGCTCATGAATGCTAAAATGCAGAAAACATAGTTGAAATGTAAATGTGCTAGAGCTTACCATCTATCACATTAACACAGAATATGGTACAACCAGATTTCTTGCAAATTTAGTTTGCCTCTGCAAACTAAATATTTTCATATTTTCTTTGATTCCTACTCTTATAATTGTAAACATAGAAATTCCAACCAGTTATGTGGACATCTTCTATGCTTTTACTGACATTGATTGATTCCTCCTGGACAAGTATTTCTCTAGATCTACAGCAGTGGTGAAATCCAATTTTTTTTTACTACCGGTTCTGTGGGCGTGGCTTGGTGGACTTGGTGGGTGTGACTTTGGGGGCATGGCAGGGGGAAGGATACTGCAAAATGTCCATGCCCAACCCCACTCCAAGGAAAGGATGCTGAAAAATCCCCATTCCTCCCCACTCCTGGGGGAAGGATATTGCAAAATCTCCATTCCCACCTCACTCTGGGCCCACCCAGAGGTGGCATTGCCAGTTCTCCAGACTACTCAAAATTTCCGCTACCGGTTCTCCGAACTGCTCAAAATTTCTGCTACCGGTTCTCCAGAACCTGTGAGAACCTGCTGGATTTCACCCCTGATCTACAGCTTAAAGAAGGTTTTCAGAGGAGTTATAGTTACTGCTAATTAGTAGAAACTGTACATATATCCTTCCTTCCTTCCTTCCTTCCTTCCTTCCTTCCTTCCTTCCTTCCTTCCTCCCTCCCTCCCTCCCTCCCTCCCTCCCTCCCTCCCTCCCAGCTCCCTTTCCTTCCCTTTGCTAAGAAGATGAAACTGTAGTTTATATGTCAGGACATATTAATGATTTGCCAAAGAAAATATCCTTGAAATTTAAGTGGAAAATAGGTAACGCAGGTACTTTGTTCTTCATAAGCACTGTCATAATTCAGAGTTATCAGTAATAATAAAATTATTTACATTATGAAACTAGATGAAATTGGTGCTTTTTAACAAAAGTCTGTTACCAATTATCTAGACTCATATCTTAGTTGTAAGGTGAGAAACCATTACTAAAGATATACAGTGTTTGAATTTGAAAAAGTAAAGGTCCTTTGGATCCTGCATGGGCATCTTCTCTGCTATTGGTTACTACTTAAATATATGTTGCTATCTCCTTAACTCAAACACATATTTTCCTGAATCCATACAGGTACCATGTGGACACAGGAAAAGGCACAGCTTCTTTAAGGAGCAGATGACAGAAGGTGCCCATGTCATCTGAAGTACCTTTGCCTGGTTGAGATCTGAATACTGCACACATTGTAAAAAGTCAGTTTCTCACTCACATAATGTGTAATGTTGAAATAAATTATAGTTGTGATGGCCTGATTTACAGTGTATGCTAAAATAAATGTATGGATTCCTGATACACACTGCATTACAAGGTAACACATGTCATTTCAGCTTAGAAAAACTTCTTGTGTGTACTTTGTCATTTTTCAATAGAACTATTTCTTTTCCCTGAGTAATTCTACAGGATCATATTTGGTAACTTCAAGGGACAGTATATCTTGTTAAGGGACTGCAGGATTCCTCTGCAGTATTGAATTATCTCTGGATATAATGATCAAATATGTAAATACAATCTTTGCAAAGTTACTCTTTTATTGTTTCCATTGGAGCATAAATTATTATCTAATTCTTAATCTTACCCCATGTATATCTTTGAAGTTAGCTTCATTAAAGTTCTGAGAACAGCTGTGACTAAATGTTGATGAAAATAACCTCACCAATTAAAGGCCTTATCTGGAAGCCCTTTTACAACTCCAAATATATAGCAAAACATCTGCAGTTTACATGAGATACTATACATAGAGGAAGATTTTCACTGGTCTAATCATGCATGAGATCCGTAAGCCTCTCTTTATCTGTTGTAGTACAACTTGAAAACTGTGGTATAATAATTAGATCCTTCCTTCATCACTTATTTATAACACATGTAATAAGTGAAATTACTAATTCCCTTATAAGAAATATATAGTAATGAATTTCTTCTGCAGATAATTTTCAGTGAAGTTGCAATTTCCATTTTGCTTTTGTAGAAGGCAGAACTGTAGAAAGCAGAAAGCTAGTAGCCAGGAGCACTGTGTGACAGCGTCATATTTTGCTAATGCAAAAAATGAAGTTGGGATGGCAATCTACTCGTTTTAGTAACCCAGAACTGAGAAGAGAAGAATATTTGAAGGTGTTCACTGTTTCAGATTAACCCATATGCCTCTTTTTCTTTTAGGATGCTACATTTAAATATTGAAGCCTTGTCAGCACTGCCTTATCAGCTGTCCACAGACAGAATGGAAAGGCAAAGATGAAACTATGTGACTACATTGTCATATAAATATCACAACATATATTCGTATCAGTGTTGGGATTAAGTATATAAGGGCATATCTTTGATGATGTCACCATAGTTTTCTGAAAGTTCTGCCATTTTATCTGATATAAAAAAAGGCAAGTTTCAAAATGATTTAAGCTCCAGTTTTGTTTTAAGCTTGATAAATATAGCTTCAAATTTGGATAAAATACTAAAACTAGACCTGCAGGTCTATGGAGCTTGAGAGAAAAAAAGAGAAACGTTAGCTGTTAAAAACATCTACATTTTTTTTAAAAAATAAATCTATTAAAGATTATAATCTCATAGTAAAAATTAATACAAACTAAAAGAGTAGAAAAAGTAAAAAGGGCAAAGCAAAAGAAAAAACAACAGAAAGAAAAAAACAATTTAGTAAAGAAAAAGGAATGAAAATAAAGAGGTTACCTCCAACCCTTATCACAAGTATATACAAATTTAGTAACTTTTCACCTCTTTTCACTTTACAACCAATAATGTCATTTCAGTACAGGTTTCAGCAAAAGTCTATTAAGGACTGTCAGTAATAACAATATATCTTTTTTTAACCCTGATTAACTAAACAAATTTAGAATTAGTGACCACTTAGAATTAGAATAGATTATGATGGTGTTCAATCTTAGGCAGCGGCAGATGTTTCTCTGTCAGAGTGCAAAAAGAAAATATCTTCTGTGAACTCCATATAGGCATCAGAAAGGGCATCCAGCCAGTAAATACTCAGCTCCATTCAGTTATCCCGCCTCCACCTCGATAAAAGGGATTACGGGTAGTTAAAGAAAAGAAAAAAGATCTGATAAAGAAACAAATAATGCACAAGAGTCTTTCATGATAACTGAAGAAGAGCCATGGCCTTTCTAAATAGAAACCTTGCCCAAGATTCAGGAAATCATTGCTTGATGGAAGAGGAAATGTGAGAAAAAAGTACTGCTCCTTTTGTTAGAGAGAATGGTTATGTAAGTATCTTAGAATTGTTACAATCTGTTAATAAGTATCCAGGCATTCATTGAAATCCAGGAAGGAAGAAATGTCATTTGTAGGATTAATAAGCAGGGGAATGCTTAAAATATCTAGAAAACTGGAACGAACAAGAGAAACCACAAAGTACTATAATCAAGTTGAGCCATTGTATATACATCTAGAGCTTAAGGGAATTAACTAATGAATGCAATAAACCACCAACAATTACTTTTGATAACTCATAGAAAACAGGAAGGCAATAGAGATTATGAAGGAATGGAAAAACAAATATTGTTTCAAACCTTATCAATTACTATCACATAATACGAACTTCAGTAAAGTAATTCTAGAGTCACAAAGCGGCTTCAGTTATGGCTCACTTTGTCTTCAGTACCATTCCAGAAATGAACAATACTGTTGGGAATGAAACACAGATGCTGGTGTCTATTTCCTTGATAGTCCTAGACAGCTATTTTAGCTCCCTATGTTCAATATAGATTAAGGTGATTAGCAGTTAGATACAAATATAAAATAAAGCCTGTCTCAGAAGAAAATACAATTCATCCTCACTATTCTATCTTCCTTTGCATGAATTAATATATGCATCCTAAACCTGTCAATCTGATATGTTATATCAATTTTGAATTTATTATTTTAATTCTACTGCAATCTTAGTATACACAAGAATTACTTATTGGATTTGCATTTATACTAGACTACCAAGACATATCCAAAAAGTAATTCATACCATGAATATAAGAGTAATACTTTTATATACAAATTAGGAGCAAGGCTTTTCTGTTTTTTAAAAAATATCTTTTAAATTTTTTTAAAAAAAGCTTTGGATTTTCTACAATCAGAAAATTGTATCTCCAAAAAATAGAAAAATTGTGGGCTCCCTCCTCCTATTACTTTTACCGAACACTGTTTGCTACCATATGGTTTCATTCTCAGGAACAGCTAAAAGCTAAGAAATTTGACATTGTGATAATTATGTGTTAACAAGGAATATTAGGTAGAACTGTTATTAAATGAGCAGATGGTGCTTACTTGCAATTTAAAATTTATTATAATGTACATATCAGGAAGGATTGTCAATAATGTATAATGACTGAACCAACTTAAATGCAAAAAGTATAAAAAAGGTTCCTAGAATTTATCTGTGCATATTTTGCAGATAAATTTTGTGTTGCTTTGCAACTTTTCATTCCAGATAATTTGTTTATATATACTTATGTGCTGTTGTCTTTTCATGTTTGTAATTACCTTGTTGGCAAACTTTGAAGGCTATTTCTAGATTGATCTTAATAACAGAGACTTTCTTTTTATAATCTACAGCAACATGCTACTTGGTTTAGTAATTGCTTAGAATAGCATAAATTCTATTTCTTATATTTGAAAATTATATTTTCAATTAGAAGGGAAAGAGAAATGGTTAGTCTACTCTTATCAAGCCTGCAACAATGACATTTTTTTCTTCACAAGTACTTCACATACCACTCCTTTTTGTATAGATGTTATAGCCAGTGAATTTTTTAAATGTTGCTACCTTGTTTCTTTTCTGTGTCTATAATCATTTTTTTTGTCCTGAGCTTACTCATTTCCCTTTAACTCTTTCTCAGATTCTGTGCATCTTAATTTTTCTGTTCTTGCAATTCTCACTTATGTTTCTCGTCTAATATAGAGGCTTTAACATGAAACACATTTACCTTTCATTAATTTATAAAGGAAAATGCATGTTCCAGTATACTAGCTAAAATTGGAGATTACAACAGCCTTAATCACCAATTCCGATTAGCATATTTGCTGTATGTGTGTATCAAAAGGCAACTGGACTTCTTGTTTTTGTTTGGACCTTTCACTTCTCATCCAATTCACTTCTCCTAGTAATAAAAGCCTTTCACTTTATCCTTTTTTACCCAGATTTCTCATGAATATTTTTAATCTCTTACTTTAAACCATTATGTTTTATTTCCTTCTTTCCTTAAACCTAATTTAAAAGGTTAAATTCCACTTTTTCTATCTTTCCACCCCTAGCATGTCGCTCTCTCTTTTGTATCAAGGCATATATAATTTTATGCCTTCCATAATTGATCTGAAACTAATATATATTTCTTCTGTCTTGAGATATCTTCTCTTATCCAGAAGTTTTTAATTTACTGAGTCCAAAATGTCTGTCAGCAGACAATCTTTTGATCTAGTTGCTCTTTATGAAGGTTTTTATTCTTCCAAATTTGGAGTTAAAACCTTTATCGTTCTTCTCCTTCTGACAATGTTGGGAAAAGTTCATTTCATTACCCAGAACTGTCAGTAGCCCAAAGGGAAGTCTTGTGAAACCATTTGGCTAGCAGAAGCCAAGAGTGGGCCAATCCTGGGAAAGTGAGTTTTCTGAATTGCTTCTAAAACCTAAAAGGGAGTTTTGCATAAAATCTCACAACCTTCACTATTATTAACTTCTATGAACTGAAGATTAACATTTATTGAAAGGACTAAAATGAATGATATCATTAGGTACACAAATGCCTTTTTCATAGAGAACCGCAATTTGAATTTTATGTATGTGACAGAAAGGGCTGTGCTGAAGCTGGTCTGAGTTTGCTGTTACTCCCCACATTGTCCAGCATATATGGGAAAGTAAATAAATGCACAATTTTTAACCTTGTTCAGACTATCTGTAGTTATTTTAAAATTTGATGAATAAATAAATAAAATTTACTTTTTATTTATATTCATTCCCTCAGAATAGCTGCAATAGGTCTCTTTGATTACAAGAAGAAAAGCTTCCTATTATCAACTTCCTGGCTATTTTATGAGAATGTGTTGAACCTGTTCTTCTAGTGAATTATGGCTATGTAGGTGTTTTAGATATTCTATTGAAATTTGGATGAAGACACATATGGAAAAGTTTACAGATAAAGATCAGAACCTAAATGATAACTCCTGCTTTTCTTGGCAGCAGCTGCTTATTATTGTTGTTGTTGTTGATGATGTTATTGTTAATTTTTTGCTCAGTGTGTGTGTATCTGCATGCGTGTGCACAGACACGCATTCATATGCCTTAGGTCAGTTTTTGACATCTGGTAACTGTCTGAACAAGTCTCTGCAGTTTTCTTGGCAACTTTTTCAGAAGTGGTTTACCATTGCCTGCTTTCTAGGGCTGAGGGAGAGCGACAAGCCTGAAGTAAACCACAAATTTCCTTGTGACTTTTTGTTATTTTTCCTTCATTCTGAAAATTAACAAAATTTGTACATGTGCTTATATTTTAGTCAGTGAAGAACTACACCAAATGTCATGTAAGAAACGAACAGATATGTAATAAGCTGACTAGTTGCAAAAGCTGTTCACTAAACCTCAATTGCCAGTGGGATCAGCGACAGCAAGAATGTCAAGCTTTACCAGGTAAAAAGAAAAAAAAAACTATTTCAATATAATATTGTAATATTGTAATATTTAATGACACATAATCCTGCTATTAAAGAAAGAATGGGCCAGTCAAATCAGGAATTCAGATTATTTCCAATTTGACAAAGACAACTCTGATATTAAATATTCAGTGTAATCAGTACAATAATAACAACAGTGGACCCTGTGTGTGTGTGTGTGTGTGTGTGTGTTGTGTGATTTAGTCATAGCATAAATTATGCCATTTGTTTATCAATGTAAATGATGTAAATTTCTCTAAGTAAGGTCATCATAACTTTTTTGTGTGCTTACTTCTTTATGTACTGCTTTGAATGCAATGAACATAGCTCCTGCTTTTGCATGTCTAGAGAAATGTTTTGTCTCTTGCATCCAAGTCAAATAAATGGGATTCCATTAAATCACAGTTTCATTATATTTGATTCAAACATAACTACATCTTTCTGGATAACACTTCAGTAAGTTCCAAAACACCTATTAACTATGTTTTCTAAAGATTATGCATGCATGAAGCACAGGTAGCTTTTTTGACTGAAAATTCCCTTATTAAACACCTTACTTTCTGGTAACCCTAGTCCATTTTATGTGTTATTATAGTTTTATTCTAGTCACTATATTAGTACACTTACTAATAACTTCAAAAAAGGACTTTATTTTTGTTCAAAATAAAAGTGAGAAAAATGTAATAGTCTGTAAAATATATACAAAAGGAGATGCACAAAAACTAATCTATTCAGTTTTGTGTTCTCCAAGGTAACTGAAAGGTAGGATAAAAGAGTAGGACAGAAGGTTGAAACTGATAGAAAAATGGTTAAGGGATGTAATGTTATTATGATTTGAGTTTAAATTTGTAGGCCATAAGAACTTTATTCTAAGCTATTGAAAGAAGAAGCTGAATTCTTTGAGAAATGATAAAAATGATATAGTATAACTTCATTGGAGGGGAGCAGGTGTTTTTATTTTCAAAGAGAAGACCAATGAAGAGCTACTGATATTCTGATATTTAAGAATATAGTAGACCAGATCATAAAGAGCTTGATCTCTAAGCACATTGAACATATTTCAGTAATTAGCAAGTGTCAGTGTGTACTCTTATATAATTGCACTAATTTATTTAGAGTTCGATCTGTTGCATTGGGTATATACTTTTTTCCTTAAAACCATATATAAAGCTTATTATATATATAATGTACATAATATATTTAGTAAGTTTTTTTAAATATTTTTTTTAATATAATAATTCCATTTTCAATTAAACAGTGTGTTATCCGAGTACAAATAATCAAGATTTAACATTAATTCTATAATATTAAAATGATAATATTAAACATAATAATCATAATATTTGCTTCTTTCTCTTAACACATCTTCTTTATTTCACTAATCTTTTCCTTTTGTTTTCCTGTTTCTAACTTCCCTTTTTATTATCTAACCATTGATAAAATAAGTCCCATGTCATGTAATATTCAGTTTGTTCTTTCTCCTTAATTGCTAACATTAGTCTATTCATTTCTGCACATTCTAATATTTTCCTGATCACATTCTCATCTGTGGGGATCTCTTCACTTTTCCAATTTTGTGCAAATACAGTTCTAGCTGCAGTTAATATATGAATAATTAAATATGCATTTAATTATATTTACTATATTTTTTGGGTAAAATCCCCAACAAGAATATTTCTGGTTTTAAATCAATATGCTGCTTTATCATTTTTTTCCAGCCCCACATGTATTTTTGTCCAATATTTTTTTGCTTTTGAGCATGTCCACCACATATAATAATATGACCCAGGTATCTGTTGGCAATTCCAGCATTTAGCCGACTTATCTTTAAACATTTTTGCCATCCTCGCTGGCGCAAAATGCCATCTATAAAACATCTTATATAAATTTTCTTTGTATGCTGTTGACATTATTAATTTATAGTTCCTATCCCACTGTTTCTGCCATTTATCTAACTCTATTGTATAACCAAAGTTTTTTACCTATGCTATTATTGTCTCCTTTACTTGTTCTTCTTCCAATTTCATGCCTAATAAGTAGCTGTATGTTTTCTTTATCATTTTTTCTGCTGTCCCTGTTAATATCTTGTCTAATTCTGTTAGTTCATTATAAAAACCATATAGTTTAACATCTTTCTCGTATCTAGAATGTATCTGCACTTGTGAATACCATGCCATATCAATCCCTTGATCGCTCAATTCTTGTTCAGTTTTGAGTTCTCCCTTTTCATTCAAAATATCTTTGTACCTAACAATATTTTCCATATTAATAACATTTGGGTGAATCAGTGCTTCCATTGTTGAAAGTCAAACTGATATCCTCAAGTAATGTTCTCTATCTTCTCCCACACTAACAATAATGCATTCTTAATATAATGTCTTTGAAAGTAACCCATGTATTTTATTTTTCCCATATCACAAGAAGGCCTGCCAGACCAATTGCAAATCATGCCCCTCCAAAGTAAATAGTTTTGTATTCCTCAATACAATCCATTCTTTCACCCATGTGAGTACCGCAGCCTGATAATACAATTCCCAATTCAGTAGACCAAAGGCTCCTCTATTTCTCGAACCCTGCAGCGTTTTTAAGCTTATTCTTGCTTTTTTCCCTTGCCAGATATATCTTAATATTACTTTATTGAGTTCCTCAAAGTATTTTTTTCTAATTTTATAATAATTGTTTAAAATAGGTATAGTAGTCTCGGTAATATATTCATTTTTATTGTAGCTATTCTTCCTATCAATGATAATTGTAGATTTTTCTCCAAATCTGCTTTAATTTATTGCATCAGTTCATAATAATTATCTTCCTTAATAGTTATACATGTTGCTGTCAGGTGAATCCCTAAGTATTTTACTTTCTTAGTAATCTGTATATCTATTCTCTTCGTTTATTCTTTTTTCTGCATGTCTGTAAGATTTTTAACTAATATCTTAGTTTTCTCTTTATTTATTTTCAATCTTGCTACTTCGCCATATTCCTCTATTTTTTTTTTATTAATTTAGGGCTTGATTCTTGTGGATCTTCCAGAATGAAGACTAAATCATCTGCAAATGCCTGTAGTTTATATTTTTCCTTTTTTATTTCCATACCTTTTATCTCTATGTCTTGTCTAATATTTCTGTTTAATACTTCCAGTGTCAATATGAATAATAGTGGAGCAAGGGGCATCCTTGTCTTGTACCTTTTTTAATGTTAACCTTCTCTGTCATATCTTCATTTACCATCACCTTTGCTGTTTGCTTATAATATATCACCTTACTCATGTTAATAAATCTCTCCCCAAAATCCATATCTTTTAATTGTGCTATCATAAATTACCAGTTCACATTATCAAATGCTTTCTGTGCATCTAGAAAAATCAACGCCATTTGCTTCCCTGGATGTGCTTCGTAGTACCGCAGTGTATTTAAAATTATTCTCATATTGTCATTAATTTGTCTCTTAGGTAAAAATCCATTTTTATTTGACTGTATAAATTGATTTAAGAACCTTTTTAGTCTTTCTGCATATATTTTATAGTCAGCATTCAATAAGGATATCGGTCTGTAATTTTTTATCTGTTGTAAATCTGAATCTTCTTTCAATATGAGAGTGATATATGCTTCCATCCATGAATTTGATACTTTCACTTCTAGCAATACTTCATTGAACACTTCCAGCATTGGTATACTTAGAGCATTTTGTAGGTCATTATAGAGTTCTGCTGGTAGACTATCTGGACCCGCTGTTTTACCATTCTTTTGTCTTTTAATTGCTTCTGTTAATTTCATCATTGTTATACGTTCACCTAACATAGCTTTCACTGTTTCGGGTATTTTAGGTAATTCCGCTTTTTCTAAGTATTGTTTTATTTTATCTTCTGAAACAGTCTCTTGATCATGTAATTTTTCTTAGTAATTTTGGATCACTTTCTTTGTTTAATAAATGTTTAGTAAGTATTTTGAAAGGTGATTTATTTTGCTGTTCAAAATGATTTTTTTTTAAAAAAAGTACAATTACTTTTAATCTTGTCTAATTTTTTACTAGCTCACTTATGTGGAGAAGGATGGAATCATGTTGGAGATGCATGCCTTCGTATAAACTCCAGTCGTGAAAACTATGACAATGCCAGACTTTATTGTTATGGCTTAAATGGGATTCTTGCTTCACTAACAACTTCCAAAGAGGTAGAGTTTGTTTTGGATGAAATACAGAAGTACACTGTCCAGGTAACTTGAATTATTCATAAGTGTATATAAAGTAGAGTTTGGGTTTATTTTTAGGAAATAGTGGTGACAAATCATAGAAACAAGTATACATTTTAGTCAACTAGATATCAATTATATGATGTACATAGGATCCGCTGATGTATTATGTAGTTGAAGTTGATGCTTAAGGATTTCTTATTTTTACTATTCAATATTAAAGTGAACTCTTATGTTCTGCAATATAAATCTGATTTCCAGTTTTTAAAAATTAGTAACAATATTATTTATATAATTGAATCCAAATCTAGAGAAGTAATTTTTTTTAAAAAAATAAATTTAATATCACTGCAATGTTTGCAATTAATCAGTCAGTTGATTTCATTGGTGGCATATTGTCATTGGTTTTATCATTTCTGAAAACATTTTGCTTGCATTTCCTTCAGTTAGGTTGGATTGCCCAAGTTTATTTATGGAAAGAACAAAAATTATAACTAACATGGATCTTTATAATTTTTATTTTTAGCTCTTCCACTATTGGGTAAATTACCAATGAATTTGATATTAATTGAAGGGGGAAAAAAGGAAAACATAAATCCTGTGAATGACTCAGTATCAGGGGTGGGTTCTAAATATTTTTACTACCAGTTCTGTGGGCGTGGCTTATTTGTGGGTGTGGCTTGTGGGGGGTAATGTAACCGGGTGGGCGTGGCCAACTTCTTTTTTTTTTTACTTTTAAAAGCATTTTTTTTTCTACAACCTTAAGATGTTGCAGAAAAAAATGCAAAAAACATCCATAGATACACTCACAAGACATTTAATCGCCCACCCTTCTTTCACCCCCCTCTGAATACCCAGCGCCCTATTACAACCGCCGGAGAGGGTTGCACAAATCTTTGCTGGAGTGAACGTGCAATCCTCTCCGGCCAGGGAGCATAACCGCTTCCTGGCTCGCGCATTTCTGGGGCAAGGGGGTGGCGGTGGCAGGAGCAGTAGGCCAGGGCTTCCCTCCCTCCCTCCATCCCTCCAGAGGCCTGGGGCTATGCCAGAAGTCTGCTCAGGCAGGGAGACAAGGAAGCCCCATATAGCCCATCCTTGCCACCACCGCTCTCTAGCCCTTGGCGGCAGCGGTTCTCGCATAGGAGCAGCTGGCAGGGGAGACGGGATGGTGGCAGGCTGCAGTAGCAGACAGTTTGAGCTGGCTAAGAGGCAACTCCTGCCAGCCTCGAGCTCAGCTCTGGGCAGCGTCCCCCCAGCCATACCTGGCTTCTCCCTGCGGCAGCCCACGTGGATCCCAGGCAGCACAACTTTGGGGCCTTTCCTCATGGTGGTGGTGATGAGGCAGGCAGGCAGCCGGGCGCACGGGAGCAACTGGTGGCAGCGCTCCTGGTTGGCAAAGGGCGGAATCCCGGGGCTGCATACGGGCAATGACAGTGAGCAGGGTAAGCGACCCGGCCGGGAACCGGTTCGGGGGCGTGGCCAGCCAATCTTATTACCGGTTCTCCGAACTACTAAAATTTTTTACTACCGGTTCTTGTGAACCGGTGCGAACTGGGAGCAATCCACCACTGTTCAGTATAGTAGATGAATGACAATTTTGCAATTCCTTTCTTTCAGTAACAATTGTATAGGGAAAAGAGACAAGAAATGCAGGATACATATATGCATCCTTTAAATAATGTGGTGAACTGTGCATTTATATTTAAGAGAACTGTTCCTTACAATTGGATAGGGATATGAGCCTAACAATATGCATCTGGTTCTTCCTTTAAATTAATACAGTAGCTACTGATTTACTTTTCTTCTTTATTAATAGAGAAATGATTTCATAAAACATAAATGTTATTCATAGATGCTGTCTATAGCCAGTAGATACCATTTTCTTTATGCTAAGTAGAGTTATTAATTTTTCTAGTGCAGCATAGAATACTCTCACATGTAGTAGTACTTATACAAGCTGACTTTTTATACAAGCAGAAAAACAAGATATAAATATAATAATAATGAACAAATAAACAATAAATAAATAAACTAAGGAGAGCCAGGTTGGTGCAGCGGTTAAGGCACTAGGCTAGAAAAATAGGATGCTGAAAGTTCTAGTCCAGCAATGGCCACAAAAGGTGGATGAGGGACTTTGAGCCAGTTACTTTCTTTCAGCCCCTGATGTCAGGCTTAGGCAATAAACTGATTGGTTAATTCCTATCACAATCAATGGATCAAAATAACTATTTATAGTCTGGTTTTACACGAATAAGTTCTTTCCCTTTTAAAACATTCATATTAGCCTTGATTCATAAACAGCATATTTACATGCCAAAATTAGGAGTTATGATTTTGCTATGATGCAGAGTATAGATTTATTAGATAGAAAAAATAAATCTTGCATTGCTATAGTAAGGAAATTGTATTGCATTTAATAATGCATTATCAAAGACATGGATAATAGGCGCATATTTACATTTGGGCCTGCCTAAGCTTCCCCACTTCACAAATTACATGATATTCAATACCCGCTATTAAAAAATAAGATTTTAATCAGAATCTTATTAAAAAATAAGATTTTAATCAGAATCTTATTAAAAAATAAGATTTTAATCAGAAGATTAATAAATCGGTTTGGAACTTTGTTATTTCTTCTCCTCAAATAATAAATTACTCCAGATTCACTACATAAAATGCAATAATAAATTTAGGAAGAGTTTTGTCTCAAATCGTGTGTGGTTGTAATTTCCTTTTTTAATGATATAGAACCACTCAAAATCAAAGAATCCAGTTTCTCGTGTCTTGTCATTATAATAACCTATTGATTGGTGAAAGGGCTATTCCATTTGTTGCTGTTTTTAAATTTCTGAAAGGAAATATAATATTAAACATGGCCTTATTCAAATAAATTACATCTTGAACTACCAAGGTCTTCTGAAGAATCCACATGTGCTATTCAATCCATAGAGACAAATGCATGCAGTTGTACTAATCATTTACTTATCAAAAATTTTAATGAAATATTATTGAGTAAAATATCTCACTTCTGGTTTTCTCTCCATCCAAAAGTAATTTCTTTTTTCATTCCTATCTGTAGCTCCCATTCTGTTTATTCTGTATGTCATTTTGAATGTGTTATAAGCTGCCAGAGATACTTGTTGAGATTTCCTTGAATTTCTTTCATATGCCAGCTGGAACCTTCAGACTACAGTCATGATTTAGAGCATTTCAGTTCATTTTAGATGACCTTCTTGTTACAGACATAATTTAATATGTTTCCCAACCATAGCAACTTCCAGTTATGTGAATTTCTGTTCCCATAATTTAGCAATCACTATGTTGTGTGGGAATTCTGGGTGTTACGGATCACACATCTGGATGTTGCCTTATTTATACAGTATAGTAAAGCCTCCCAGCTATCCTTTCAAATCCCCATAACATTTTCTCACCTATTACTTTACTGTTATAATTTTTCTAGCAATATACTTCTAAGTGTATTTACTACTGGGTAGACTGACCTAACATTTATATTTGGTGAGAAGGCATATAGTGGCATGTGATCAGATTTAATCAATATGTAAATATTATTTACATCGCTCAACTCTTGGCCAACCAAGTGATGTTTCTGAGATTCTGCTTGCTTTTAGAGTATGTTTGAGAAAGTACTGGCTTAGTCTTAACCTTTGTAAGATTGAATGGCTATAGATTAAGACTTAACCCTTGTAAAACTGAGTGGATTCATGGTCCAGATTTATAAGATGGTTTACATGCCTAACAGATGACTAGAACTCCTATTCTTCCGATATCTAAACCACTATTTTAACTACTACATTTAACTGACTCTCAGATATAAGTATGTTTGTTTTGTTGTGTTGAATGACTTATAAATTTAATAAACAAGTGAGAAATTGATCAGTACAAAGAAGATGTCTATCATGTAACCCAATTTTGCACTCATGCTTTAAAGCAGTCCTGGGAATTTTACAGCCCACAGGCCATATCCAGTCTATGGGTGATCCCAGTCCAGCCTGCAGTATCAATGGCATCAACAACGGGGAGAGCATTAGGGATAAAGACAAGATATTGTTGTGGCAAGAGTGGGCAAAACATTGGTGCCGTGTCCGGGGGCAGGGCGTCATCAACATTGAGGTGGGTGGTATCAGTGGGCAACACGGTGGTCCTCCACAACAGTCATGGTTTCTCATATGGCCCCTTGGGAAAATTAAGTCTCTACTCCTGCTTTAAAGTGTATGTAGAAAAAATTATTTCCAAATAAATGAATTTTACCTATCTGTAAAATCTACCTGTGTTTGTCAGGATTTGTGGCTATTTTGTTTTTTATTTATTCATGTAAGTGTTTTATATTAGTCAGTAGCACAAACTGTCAAGTGGAAAATAGTCCTTGTGTACTTAGTTTGAAATTAGAAAAAAATAGTCCAGAATTAATCTTAAAACCCAACACTAAATAATTGTAGTTAATGTATTTTATACGATTATGCTTTTATGTGGTTATAATATATTTTAATAATATGATATTATATTATAACATATTTCACATAATTTCAGATGGTTGGGCAAAGTATCATTACCATGGCTGTAATACGTAACAAGTGATAAAAGTATCAATCTTTGATTATTCATATGGACTTTTTGCATTCTCCTTCACAGAAAATATCTCCTTGGGTGGGTCTACGCAAGATTAACATCTCCTACTGGGGATGGGATGATATGTCTCCCTTTACTAATACAACATTGCAGTGGCTTCCTGGAGAACCAAATGATTCTGGATTCTGTGCCTATCTTGAAAGGGCTGAAGTGGCAGGTTTAAAAGCAAATCCTTGTACAGCTAAGGCGGATGGCCTTGTTTGTGAGAAACCTGTTGGTAAGAAAGCTTACTATATGATATATATACTTGTGGAATACTTTACATGTCTTTAGTATTGCATTATGAATAGAATGAGTATTGATTAATTTCTGGAAGACAGCTGCTGAATTTCATTTGTTTAAATTACAAAGCATACCAGGGAATGTTTCTTTAAAATATACCTTATTGCATTGTAGGTTTTAACTGGAATCTTAGACTAAATTCACAGATCATGCACCTTGTACAACAGAGTAATAGAATTTTGTGAAAATTATTCCCTATTGTCCACATCTGCTACAAGCAAAATAATTGTAGATTCTACACAAAGACTTTGGCAGACATTTGAATTAAATGCCTTATATAAATATATTAAATGTAGTATAGATGTAGATTTTTATAAAACAAAAGCTGTAGAGTGCAATCCAGTCAGATGAAATGTTTCCAGGTGCAAAATGCGAGTATAAATAAATGTTGTGCACTGTATAGCTTAGTTTTAGAAAACTAGAGAATCACAGAATCACAAATGTAAAATGAATGTATGACACAAATGAGGTGCATTTGTGACAGAAACTGAAAGAAAAAACAAACAAAGAAAAATAGAGGAAAAAATATTTTCCTTTTAGAAAAGTGGCCTTTAGAGAAAAAAAATTAAGATAGCCAGAGAAAGATGGACGATGAAAGCCTTGGGCAACAAGAAGGATGCATAAAAAATGAATGCAAACTCGAAACATTCATCAAGAAGGACAAGGACAGTTATATAAGTTAAGAATGTCACGAGACAGAGAAACACGGGTAAAGGAAAATGGAAGACATTTTTAAGAAGATCAAAGAAATCCCAGGAAAATTGATTTAATCAATATAAAGACTTTCTCATTGCAATTGCATTTGACAAACTCCTATAAGATTATGAAGGATAAGAAGCACCAAGACAAGAAAGGTTAAAAAAAAAAGACCTTCCCAGTGATGATAGATGACTGTGAAAGCTGGACGCTAAGACAAAGTGAGAGATGGATAATAGGTGTCTTAGAAGTTTATAGTAATGTATTTTGTAAGAAATTCTAACCAGTTGGTCCTGGTTGTATGAAGAGACACAATAATTTGAGTCGATCAACGGCAGAACCTCACATAGTTTACATTTGTGAAGTGATTGCATAATGCACTAGAGGGAAAAAAGCTTGACAAAGTGCAATCACCAATAAGATGAATGGACAAGATATACATATACATATCCAAATATGATAATTCAGCAAAAATACTGAAATTTCATTTTTTAATTATTTTCTTTTTCCTTCAGTTAGTCCAAATCAAAATGCTCGGCCCTGCAAAAAGCCATGCTCTTTAAGGACGACATGTTCCAACTGTACCAGCAGTGGCATGGAATGCATGTGGTGTAGCAGCACAAAACGATGTGTTGATTCAAATGCTTACATCATTTCCTTTCCATATGGCCAGTGTTTAGAGTGGCAAACTACCACTTGTTCTCGTAAGTATTTATGGTGATATGAATGAAAATAGTTATGATACTTAATGGAAATAAAAATGAAGTATAGAGAGTTTTTGTTAAGGTTTCTGCCAGTTAGCAACCAGAAGTTAAAAACAAGAAACTAAAGCAAATGTTTAATTTCTGACTAAAATTAAACCAGTTATTCTTTTTCCTGTATATGTTTAGATAATCATGCACAGCTCAATAATTTGTTTCTGTGTCTAAAAATCAATAGGATTTTAGTTCTCTTCTTGAAAGCTATTAGAGCTGTTAGAAGTAATAGAGTAATGTTATATACACAGTATAAAACTCCTAGAAAAGCCACTGAATATAGAACTGAAATGGAAACTTGCATTCTATAGCGATTTGGTTTTTACTTAAGTAATTTATTTATTTAATTTTTTCAACTTACAAACATAACTGAGCTCAAAATTTCTGTTGCTAAGTAAATTTTGCCCTTTCTTCCCATTTGTCAAGTGAATCACTGCAGCTGTTAAGTTAGTAACACAGTTGTAAAATGAATCTGGCTTCCGTATTGATTTTGCTTGTCAGAAAGTTGCAAAAGGTGATTGCAGGACTTGGGACACTGCAGTTGTCATAAACATGAGTCAGTTGCCAAGTGTCTGAATTTTGATCATGTGATCATAGAGAGGCTGAAAAATGGTCATGTCACTTTTTTCAGTGCAACTTTGAATGGTTACTAAATGAACTGTTGTAAATCAAGGACCACCTGTACTTGACAGCTTACTTGCTGACTGGCAAATATTTGTTTGTCTATTTATTTATATGGTCACTCAATTTATTCTCAATAATGTTATAAAAATACCAAAATCGTTAAGGAATGTTATACTATTCTACCCTCAGAAACTCACACTTTGATTAAGAAAATTCCTATTCCTTTTCTGATTTCAAATAATACATGAGGCGCAATCATGTTTCACATTTGTTTTGTTGAGCTCAAAAGTATGATTCAATTCAACAATATCCTAATTTGGTTCACTATTCATTAGCTTCTCTCATCCATTTGTTTTTGCCAGGTGGAATTTTATATCATCAGTATACATCATTTTTTTGACCTATTAGCAGCCTTATCCTTATAAAGAAATCTGACATAATCCATAAATTTTGAATCTTTATTCAATGTTGATTAGGAAAAAACAACAGCAAAGGATTAGAATTAACCCTTTAATGATTTTAGTTTAATTTAGGGTACAAAATGATAAAAATTCTTCAACAGATAACTTTTTGAAATGTGTCTATCTTCCATTTTGGTTGCTAGGCAACATTCAGCTCTGTCCTGGAGAACCCAGTGTTGTTAACCTTTACTGTATATGCTGAACATAACCTAGAAATTATTAGTTTCTTGTTTTCTTCCAATATGCCTCAGATGCTGTAGTCAAATATTCCTAGCAGGATTTGGACAAATTGGCAGAAGTCCAGAAAATCATTAAACAAATTTGCTCCCAAATTTATATGGAAAGAGTTTTTCTAAGCTTTTTTTTTTTTTGCTATTAGCCATTTCAATTGTAGAAAAAATGAAACTGATAATGGAAATTGGCAAATGATGTGAAGCTTCTGGAATTGCTAACTAGCTTGTATATTTGCTATGATCTAATCAGTCCTGACCAGCTGATGCCACTAAGTGTGAATAGTGGCATGAAAATATTGTTTCTGCATGTTTTGAAAAATACTTCTTTCCTCTTTGATTTAATGAATTAAACTTGGATGCTTTGGGTCTACTCTATTTCCCCAGTAGAAAGCAGTTTTGAATTCAGTTTTTTCAAATTTCAACATTTAATATTTGTTTCTGGATAGCTACCTATCTAGGCTACCCTTTTTGTGTGTGTGTGTGTGTGTGTGTTTGTGTGTTTAAAGAAAAGACAGTTGAAAAACTCTGTTTAATTTAGTTGTCATTTCAGACAGAACTATAAAGATATACGTTAAATAAACCTAATAGGGCTTATCAATTCAATAACATACAGAAAGAATTATATTATAAATTGTATTTCTGTCTAGCCAATAAAAAAATAAATTTCTACATTTCAGCCTTGCCCACTTAATGAAGATAATGTTCTAGAACAGAGAGCAGCAGACATTAGACATTGCTGTAAATCTTTGAAATTTTTATGATCTCACCTTGAGCACTGCACATGAGTTTGGCAGCTATTATGCAAAAAGTTGGTCAATTTTTCATGAGATCTTGCAGAGTTTTGTTTCATGCCCACAGAATTTGATGAGATTTTAACAATTTCTTCAATCTCTTTTACCATTTTAATTAAGACTTAACTGTGGGAAGCAATTGATGGCCTAGTATTTATTGGAGACTGAATTGCCAGCTTCTGAGCTAGGGTCCGCTTCCATTCAATTTGAAGAATCTGATAGCAAAACGTTTATGCATTTGTCTGTTGAACCCAGCTGAAGATTGCAATTTAAATACTTTGCAACTGTTGTTTATGGTGGTTGCAGCATCTTGAATTTTTTTTTTATGCAAAAAAATCAAGCAAATTCAGTGGGGAAGTTAGCAGGAAGTCGTAAGACATATGATGTCATGCTTAATGACTAGGTGGTTTGCATAACAACTGCACCCATAATTGGCATTTTAAGTTGGGCTTGGTCACATATTTCACATTATGACTGTATACTTCGCAATGGAGTTGTTGATAGAATAGAATAGAATTCTTTTTGGTCAAGTGTGATTGGACACACAAGGAATTTGTCTTTGGTGTCAGTGTACATAAGGAGAATAAAAGATACAACACTTATTGATAGTCAAGGTTACTAATAAGCTATCAAATCATACTAGGAAATAAATAAAAACAATATAAATTGAGAGATACAAGCAATATGTATCATGACAATAATTTATTTCCTATTTTCTATTGTACATAAATAGGACTGCAGTGTAATTAGGCTTCCATTTGTATACTGTCTTTCAAGGGAGGGAGGGGAAGTAAATGACAACTGATGTCATTTTTATTAGATATGTCATTACCTGATGACATCATAACATAGGTGACATTTTAACATTAAAGCTTGCTGTCGGTGCTACCTATGTCCTTTTTAAATAATTAAATGAACTAGTGCTAAACTGGGATGTGTAGATTTGTTTTGCAAGTATTTTCAAGTTACCTTTTGTTTAACATAATGACATTTATAAATTATTATTTAATATCTAGTTTATGCATTCCATTTCAATTCAAATCAAAGTTGAATTCAATCAAGAACTACATTGCTTTTTACGTTCATGTGGAATAAGTAGTAAATTCATTCTACATGTAGCTTTACAGGCAAATTTTATGATATAATTTTCTGTAGTAATGTTTTGGAGTGTGAACAGTTTTCTTTTAAGGATATAATTGTATCAGTTTCCAGTAGTTTTGTATTTATTATCTGATCCTCTATGAGGATCAAAATATTAGGCTTTTATTTGACTTTGTGTCAAATTTATATTGTAAATATCAGATGCATTTATCTGAAGGGGAAAAAAAACTCTGAAGTAATAAAAATCAAAGCAAGTTGTTTAATTCATAAGTCCAGCACCAAAATTCATATGATCACCAATGAATTAACTCAAAAACTCTTCTTCTCAGAACTGATGTTGTATAACAATCAACCAATATTATCAACACAAATATTTTGAAATTTTAAGTGAGCTTTGATTTTCATCCGAAAATTGGTTTGAATGCATGCTAACAATAGGGTGGAGTTTGATGGGACATTTAAAGTGAAATCTTATCAGATCATACTAGGCATGACAATAAGTTTCAATTCTCTCTAACTGAACTCTATATCTATAAAATTATTTCTTATTTAATAATTTTTTTAAAGCATAAGCTTCAAAAACTCAATGAACTTATATACCCTGCTTGTTATAGTCAAAATGGAAATTATATACATATTATCAATAGTTTTCCATGTTTTGGAGATATGAGCACACTGTGTATTGTGACACAGTACAGGGAGTTCTCATTTAGAAATCACAGTTGGCACTGGCATATATTGCATTCTGATTGGCCTGCAGTTGATTGATGCTGGGTTTTTTTTTATTCTTTTGCTGTATATTTCATTATCATCTAGGTTTTGCCAGATATTCACCAATCTGGCAATTTCACCTCCTTGTGGTATGTTATTAAACTGCTTCACAATTGTAGACTGTAGACCAATTTGGTTTCAACCAAAACATGAAGTTTATTTTCATCTAGTACTGACCAGTTCTTTGTGCTTTTCTCCACCATTTCTGCACTATTATAAATTCTTTAATTTCAGCTTCTTTTTCATTTTTATCTGTCTCCTTTATCTAAGATGCATCCTTAATGTATTTCTTTGGGTTGTTCCAGAGCTCCACTGTTTCTTCTTTGTCAGAAATTGACAAAGACTCGTTACAGTCTTTCTATTGATGGATTGATAAAAGTATTTCTGATTCAACTGAAATTGGAGATTCTGCCTGTAGGGGGCAATTTTAGCTTTTAATCTGATGGTCTTGGCTAGAGCTGCTATTTGCTGCTTTATATAAAAAATTGTTTTTGGAGGGGGTGTCAATCAACCATCTGAAACTCATTGAAGGGGTTGATAAACTAAAGAGTTTGGGAATTCATAGGTTAAGGCATCACACCAGAAACCAGGAATCTGAATTTTAGTCCTGCCTTAGGTCAGTTGGATGACCTTGTCTTAATCATACTTTTTTTCTGAACCCTAGGAAAAAGGCTGTGGCAAACCATTTTTAAAAAATCTTAGGAAAAAGAAAATTTCAGGGACTTATTAGGCCAGGATTTGATACAGATTTGAAGGCAGCAAATATATGTATATTTGTTGAAATATATCAGTTTATTGAGTTTGTTGTTTGTTTTGTTTGTTGTTATATCCTACACTTCTATAGCCATAGACATATACAATAGCTAGATATGATAAAAGTTAATTTATCAATCTAGTTTCTCAAACTTAAAAGTTTAGACTTAAAAGTTATAAATCCTCTTATGCAGACTCAACTTTTACTGATTTTTCTTTATCCTGTGTATTTACAGCTCAAAACTGTTCAGGGTTGAGGACTTGCAGTCAGTGTCTGGAACATCCAGGATGTGGATGGTGCAATGATCCCAGTAATACAGGCAAAGGCCATTGTGTAGAAGGCTCGGCAAGGGGACCAGTGAAGTTCAGTGGGACGCATTCTACTGAAATAGTTATTGACAACAATCTTTGTGCTAAAGAAAAAAATTATGAATGGTCTTTTATTCAATGCCCAGGTATGATGAATTTGTTATTATTGTTAGTGCTTTTATCAATGAAATTATGGCAGGTTAATTGTTTGCTTCCAAAAATGGATTGGGATATGGGAAACATAAATATTTTGTTGGCTAGTTTATTAGTATATTTTAAAAGTTTTTCAAATATAGATCTTGATCCATAAAATGTTCCTCAATTATTCATGTTATCTACTTTTAAAAACTATGTCAAATTTAGCTAGATATGATAAGTTTGTTAAATCATATTGAACATGTATGCTATTATGTAATGTTATGAAAAATGAGTCAAAAGTTATCTTTTTGGATACTTCTCTTCAAGTGTTGTTTTGATTTGACAGAAATAGTGTAAAAATGTTTTAAAAACCTGAAGATTTTTTTAATTACTAAAGCTAGGACATAAATATTCTGTCTGGAGTTTTCTTTGAATACTAGGCTAGTAATACATATGCATAGAGATTTTAGAGCTTTATAGCTTGACAAATTTATAGTAGGAGCAAAGCTTAGATAAATCAGACCATTTTTGGAAGCTAAACATTCTGGGAAACTTCAAAATCTCCTACCATGCTAATCTAGTCATTCTAGTGATTATCTGGCAGTTTTCCAAAATGAAGAGGAATCGATTTTTGGTGTTCTGATATGTAACTGAGAGCTGAGCTCTTAAGAGAGTAAGCATTTGGTTGCAATTCAATTTCACTGTAGCATCTAGGACAGTATGTACAGTGAACATTTAATTCAGTTATTTATTTACTTTTAAGGTAACCTGTATTCTTTAAAAAAAACATTTTGTTTGCTATCAATGCAACCACATATAAATCAATTAAGACCACAATACTTTTTTAAAAAAGTGAATGAAATTTCCCTTTAAAACAGGTAGGTATACTATGTGGGTCTCTACAAGAAAATAGTTCAGACTTCAAATAAGACCAGCCTCACCTAATACGTTCCATGGAGCAGGTAGTGGAAAGAATGTGTCAGAAAGAGCAAGGAGGAGAGATTTCAGAAAGAAAATTAAGTAGTGGCCTTGTCAACCTTTCCATTTGGCTCTGCTTAACTGTTTCTTTGGTTCCCAACACGATTGTGGTCCTTAACAGAAATAAAAATAATAATGATAATTATCTATGCTTTAATTCCATCAATTAAAATACATATCCCTAATGTTTCCAAGGGCTGACAGAAACAAATATTACAGAAACAGTAATAACTGTTATAGCCTTATAGAGCTAGACAAAGTTATGTAGAACATGCTTCATCATCTATTATTTACTGTGTCTTATTAAACAATAATACTAAGTATTGACAGTTAACCAAAAATAGGCAGACGTTCTTGCCCATATCAAAATAGTCCAAATTTTTTGGAGGAATCAGCCCCACTCTTAGGATGACAGCAGCAGAATACTTCTTGCTGTTTAATAACTATTCAAATTTGGCTGCTTTTATGATTGTAATAGTGTATAATTCTTAATTACCTAACAACATTTTTTAAACACTCCCATTCCCATAAAAAGACTAGTGTCAAAAGGATTGACAATCAGAAGGAAAAAAGTAAACATTTCAAGAAAAATTTTCAGTCCTTATAGTCTTTGTCTTCATCCAGATTGGTAGGTTTATATGAATGGTTACTAGCAATGCTATTTAAAGTTATATGTTGTTGATTAATTAGTTTAATTTAACTTTGTTCAATTGATACTGAACTTGATACTAAATAAACAGAAAGATTAATAACTCCATAGTTAGCTGCTCTCAAATTATGACCATTAATTAAATTACACAGCAATCTTTAGTTAATCAGAATTATAGAACGTAAATTCAGTAAATTCAATAAAAACAAATAAATATAGAAGCAAAGCAATTTAGCTGTCCTCCGTGTTGAAGAAAAGAATGTAACATCTGCTCATATAAAACCAATTAGACTAATCACCTCTTTTAAACCTCTTTTTATTATACTATCATTGAAAGTTACTTACTGAGTTTATCTATTTCAATTGTACATAATAGGAATGTAGTAAAATATAATCACTGAAAAGCAAACAATCAGTATTTAAAGAAATACTGATAAATATTAGGTAGAAGTTCTTTCTTATTGAAACTAGAACTTCTATGTGACAAAAGCAAGAGACAGATAATGTTAGCACAATTATATGTTCAATGGAATTATTATTTTGAATTCTCCAAATATTTGACTGGAAAGAAAAGAATATTTAAATATGCTGTGTAGGCGTTGCTGATTGTGCTGTGTTAACATAATTAATGCCATAAAATCAAACATATAAAAACATCAGGTAATAACTATCAAAGCATACATCTCATAGTTTGATTATTAGAGTATCTAGTACTTGAATGTTTCAGTCTAAAGTAAATTCACTTAGTTCATTGAATTGAAAAATTAGTGGAAACCACTAGGAATTGATCATACCCTTATTTACATAGATCTAAATGAATAGATGCAAATTTTCAATGAATTGAGAAGCATTTGAAATCAATAGTTACATTTTCAACTTAAAACAGAAACCAAATCTTGTCATCAAATCAAATGTTTCCTCTTCAATTCAGTGATTTGGAACAGTTCTGCACACGTGTGTTTAGAAAACATTTATTTGGTTTTCTTAATTAATATGAATCATTCAACTGGATCAAAGCTAATTTATTAATTCCTTAGTATCATGCCTTAGGTTTTATTTCTTGTCATGCTTCTGTAAAAAGGATTTTGTGGCTCATATATTATATACTTATCTCTAAAATAGATCATTGGATATAAGCAATATACAAAATTGCAGTACTTACTAAAACTCATCAGTGCATCTTTTTTACCTAGTGTCTAAATGTCAAAATATACTTGGGAACCCAATTTTGTATGAAGACTAAAAGTATTTTACTAATGATGACATTATAAATAATGTTTTCTTCTATCAGCATAATTGGCATTTATATAATAGGTCATGTGTTGCTGCATTAATAATTTAAAAACTGGTTCTGTCTACATATTCCTGTTGATTCGCACAGTCTTCGTATGTAGTGTTGCCTAATAACACATCCCCAAAAATACATAGCTATCAGCAATATAGCCATAACCAGAAACTTAGAAAATTGGTAACTTGATATCAAAAGCAAAGCATAGGTTGACTCAGCCTTCGAGACTTCCAAGATCGATAAAATAAGAACCCAGATTGTTGGGGGCAATACTATAAACTGCTTAAAGAGGGCTGTAAAACACTGTGAAGCACTATATATGTCTTAAGTGCTATTGCTATATGTATGTGTGTATGTATGTATTGATTGATTGAATTTGTATACCGCCCTTCTCCTACTGGACTCAGGGCGGTGCACAGCCAAAATAAAAAACATCCCAATACAAAATTTAAAATTTGTTAAAAGAATTACACACTTTGGCCCAAAATTTAAAACATCCCAACTAAAACCCATAGACAATTAAAATCTAACATCTCAAAAAGGGGGGGGGGTTACGCCAGCCCTGCTTGGTGGAAAAGAAAAGTTTTTAGGGCACGGCGAAAAGCCCGGAGATCTGGTATCATGCGTATCTCCGGGGGCAAGTCGTTCCAGAGGGCAGGTGCTGCCACAGAGAAGCCCTCCCTCTGGGGGTCGCCAGCCAACACTGCCTGGCTGACAGCACCCTGAAGAGTCCCACTCTGTGGGAGTGTAATGGCCGGTTGGAGGCTATCAGCGGCAGAAGGCAGTTCCGCAAATACCCAGTCCCTATGCCATGGAGTGCTTTAAAGGTGGTAACCAACACCTTGAAGCGCACCCGGAAGACCACTGGAAGCCAATGCAGCTCACGCAGGAGAGGCGTCACATGGGAGCGCCCCCTCACTCCCATAATCCCCCGTGCGGCCGCATTCTGCACCAGTTGGAGCCTCCGGGCGCTCCTCAAGGGGAGCCCCATGTAGAGAGCATTGCAGTAGTCCAGGCGGGAAGTGACGATTGCCTGAGTGACTGTGCGTAAGAAGTACCAATCCAGAAAGAGATGCAACTGGCGAATCAGGCGAACCTGATAAAAAGCTTCCCCGGCCACTGCTGTCACATGCTCTTCTAAAGACAGCCGTGATCCAGGAGAATGCCCAAGTTGCGAGCCCTCTCCGTGGGGGCCAATAACTCGCCCCCAATAGCCAGCGATGGCACCAGCTGGCTATATCGGGATGCCAGAAGCTACAGCCACTCGGTCTTGGAAGGGTTGAGTCGGGCTTGTTACTCCCCATCCAGATCCGCACAGCTTCCAGGCACCGGGACATTACTTCAAGGGTATCGTTGGGATGGCCTGAGGTGGAGATGTACAGCTGAGTATCGTTAGCGTACTGATGGAACTCCACCCCAAAGCCACAGATGATCTCACCCAGCGGCTTCACATAAATGTTGAACAGAAGGGGCGAGAGGACCAACCCCTGCGGCACCCCACAAATAAAGTGCCTCAGGGTTGACCTCTGCCCCCCTGTCAACACCGACTGCGTCCGGTCGGAGAGATGGGAAGAGAACCACCGCAGAACGGTGCCCCCACCCTCCAACCGGCGCAGCATGATACCATGGTCGATGGTATCAAAAGCCGCTGAGAGAACTAACAGGACCAGGATAGAGGAACAACCCCTATCCTGAGCCCTCCAGAGATCATCCACCAATGTGACCAATGCCGTTTCTGTACTGTGCCCAGGCCTGAAGCTGGACTGGAGCGGATCCAGATAGACATCTTCATCCAGGTACCCAGGAAGCTGTCGAGATGAAAAGACAGTGACTGAGAATTGAATTTGTTTGAAGGAACTGCCATGATTCACAAGTGCAAGCATTCTTTAGGTTTTTTTCATCAGCACAACCTTGGTATTATAACATTTTGCTTTATTCTGGCCACAGAATGTGAAAAAGAGACAGAAACATGTTCATAACCGTCAAAAGAGAAGCATGCACAAAGCAGAAGTGCTACATTAGTTTAAGGCATTATGGATAGCAAAGAATAATGATCCATGTAAGACAGCAACACGGTAATTAGTAATAAGGGTATTCAAGAATGATCAGGCCAGAGAGGCTAAGAGGTGAAAATTGACTTTTGGGATATAATGGTTTTTCCTATTGATATTGTTTGTTTTTGAACAAGTATAGCAGGACCAGGCAGCTGGTTAATAAGTACTTGATGATGAGATTTGCATGTTTAATTACTACAGATTTCATCAGGCAATGTACCACCATAGGAAAAGAGTTAGACTGGTGGATTTTAGTTGTTTCTGTGAATGGCCAATTATATTAGTTTTCTTACTGTTCTCATAAAGGAATCTGCCTTATTGGACACTGCTGCTACTGTGGAAAGAAATGGACTGATTTTCCATGGTTTGTTTGGCAATTGGCTCTTTCTATTGGCCTCCTTCACTCTCTTCCTTAATATATTCTGCTAGTTCCTGTGGATATTTGGAGTACAAAGACCAGCCCTTGATCTGAAGGTGTTACATGGCCAAGAGCTTGCTGTTTTATAGCATAGCTGTCTCATTATATCTTGTCTCTGTAACTGGATTACAATATGTAGTTTTCTCTGCATTGCCATTTCTGCAGCAAAGGAACAGAATCCAAAGTCCCTAATAAAAGAAATTAGATTGCACATAGGGAACTAATATATGCAAGGTATATTCTTTATATTCTTATATTCTTCTTCATCAACTACTTATATCTATTCAGTTTACTAAACTCATTTGTTGATGCTAATCACAATGTTCTGTACTTTTTAAGAATGACATACATACATATATACATATTTATTTTGTTTTAATTGCAGCTTGCCAATGTAATGGACATAGCACCTGCATTAATGGCAATGTATGTGACCAATGCAAAAATCTAACTACAGGAAAACAGTGTGAAACATGCATGCCCGGTTATTATGGAGATCCAACAAATGGAGGACAGTGTACAGGTAATGTTGAAAAGTTTTTCAAGTTCACAAAATTCTAGTGTAATGGAATGTACCCAATATTTAAATGGACACAGTTGGATTAAATAAATAAATATTTGAAAATTGAATGATGCTTCAGTGCTCTGATGAAGACTATAGAAAATAAGGAAAGTTCTGGTGGATGGTACTACATCATTTATGTAACTACCTATTTTAACATTTCTCTCATTTTCATACATGTTTTGAATCGTGTCACATTCTGTCATTTTCATATTAACTTGAAGAGGAACATTGACAGAAATATTTTCCCATAATATGATATTTTTATTTTGAGTCATATACAGAACCTTATGCTTTATTAAACTGGCTGATATACAAGTATTTATCCCTCAAATAGAAAGAAGATACATTATCAATCCTGAGGATATCCTAAAGAATGTGATTATGTCACTGAAAACTCAATGGTTTCAATTGTGTTTAGTGTAATCTATAAAAACTGTCTGTGAATTGTCTATAGAAACAGATTCACTAATAAGTATGACAGTTTATTTTCATATCATTTTATTAGAATATAAATTATTGATAACTAATCTTGGGAAAAAATATAGGTTCATTTTTTTTTTTTTGCTTAAGGTATAACAAAGACCAGGGCTATAGCTACACTTAAAAAAAAAAGAATGAAAATGACAAAGGTAGTCATAATGCAATTATTTTTGGAAAAATTTGAGAAGGGAAATCTATCCCCCAATAAGGTCCTTTGTTGGTTGAGTAGGAATAGAATAGATATAGATAATATAGCTGATTAAATTATTCAAGGTGTCCTTTTATTCAACCATTTTAATTAAATTAACTAAAAATAAAATAAAATATCTTGAATATCTTTAATGAATATTGTAGAGGACGTTATTGAAATGTCTATGTAGTCAAACTGCCAGAAAGGGAAATAAAGCATATTGAACCAGGAGGCTAAATTAGAAGGCAATTTGGATTTAAATGAAAATCAAAGACTATCATGATCCTATTTGGTGTAGAAAAGTGATTTTTTGAACTGACTTACCAGTAACTTCTACTTTGGAAGGAATTCTAATAATGTAGGTTACAAATTCATGCAAAAATATGCATGAAAACAGGAAGTACATTGTACATTTGTACATTACTAAACAGACAAGAGCATAGTGATGTCATTCCTAGACTTATTTCTTTATATGTTATTAGATTTGTCTACCAAATCCAAACTGCCTCATGACAGTTTACTAAATAACAATTAAAACATCAAGTATAACTTGTTTTAAAATATAAAGAATAAGCATTTATGATGAATGGATGCAATCAACAAATCACATAGTTGCTGTTTTATTTCCAATTTATTTTGAATTAATTTTCTGAATGAATAATTGTTGATGGTGAACTATTTAGAAAAAAATAGAGATATATTTACCCTATAAGATTTTGTATATTTTCAATTCTGTTTTTACATCTGAGAATAAACTTTATTCAAATAAATGGAGTTTATTTTTGAGTACACTTTATATGTTTGCTTGATTATATTAGCAAACTGATAAATTTAAAATTAGCAAAAGGAAATTGCATAATTGGAAGATGAATAATATAACCGAAAAAGCAGAGGTTTTAAAATTCTTAGGGTATTTACTCTTCAGCTAATCTTAACTTGGAAAATTTAAACCAGAGTGCACAGATACAGAAACCTATAGCTCTATTTCTCAGTGATAATTTTGCCAGCAGCAGTAAAAGTCTTTAAGGTATTAAGGAAAATGCTTTGCGTGCATAATTTTGCTGGTAGAATAACTTGAGAGTATTAAAAGTGGTCTAAAATAAATTGATCAATGTAATGCTTTCCATTGATTTGGTGTAGTCCAAAGGCACTTTTACATTTACAAACTGTTCTCAGTTCCTTAGAGATATGTGTGAGAACTTGCCAGCTAAAATATTGATTAAAAGTAAACTGTATGAAAGACTCTCACAAACGTTAATTCTCAAGGACAAGTTCATTTTTTCCTCAGAAAACCTAAGCATAAGTACAGATTTAAATTTTCATCTCACCTCTGTTTCAATAAGGTTATATCTCTAGAGATAAAAATTATATGAGGTCTATGAAGGGATTAAATAGCATCTCCTACAGTTCTATTAGACCAGGGCTCTCCAACCTTGGCAACTTTAAGCCTGGAGGACTTCAACTCTCAGAATTCCCCAACCAGTTTAAAGTCTGCCAGGCTTAAAGTTGGAGACCCCTGCTACAGACAGTCTATGCTATACTATACTATTAGCCTATACTAATATTTGGTGTGCCCTACAGAATAGTTTCTTGCATGCTGCCTTCGGTACAATGCCATCTATAAATTTGGACAAACATCTCTCTGCAAGTTCTTGAGAAGATTCAAGAAAACTAGTTCTCTATATTTTGTTGCATTACTCCATATACTATACCTCTCTTAGCATTCAACATTAACACTCATCTGGCAGCAGGTTGACTGGACCAGCCAGATGAAGAAAAGAGATAACTACTGATAGTAGACTGCTCCGATGAAAGATCTGAGAAAATTTATTTATTTATTGAATTTTTTATTGCCGCCTATTTGTCCATGGCGACTCAAGGCAACTTACAGAATAAAAATTGCTTATTTTTTGCTCAGTGGCAGTTTTTGTAAGGAGAACAATTTTAGAACTGTTGTTGAATTCATTGTAATTCATAGGTATTGACTTGTCTATAAGCATAATTAGGTTATGTTTTATTTATGTTTATGTACTTTTGTAGCATATAACAGTTTTGATTGCTGATCTCCAAACTAATAATATAGTTTGCTGTAATAGCTACTGTTTATAATTATTATGTGTTGATATTTAAAACACTTTATCATCTTTGAGAAAATAAATAGTTAATTATTTTTGATTTTGAGTTCTGTTTGCTTCCTAGTTATTCAGAACAGTATATTTCAGAATAATATCATCAAAGAGGAAATATATATTTAATTATATAATCCTTGCTTGGCATTTTGTATTGTTTATTTATCAATTAAATTGCGTTAAGCAATTGATTTATCAATCAATTGCTTAACACACTGTAAGCCGCCCTGAGTCTCCGGAGAAGGGCGGCATATCAATCAATTTTTTTTTAAAAAAATTGTATTTCAGCATTTTATTGCTTCTCAGCGAATTGCTGGCAATCTTCTCTTGATTAGATAGATAATAAAATAACAGGAATCCCAACTGTAAGACTACAAATAAAATATGACATCATATGCATTCTTTTTTTCAATTATCTTGCTCTGATTAAATGATGTTCATTATGATACAACTCAGAATTTTAAGAAAAAAATCCTAGCATTACTGTTAAATTTCTATGTCATGGGGTTTTCTTTAAAGTACATCTACTACTGTATTTGAATGAGATCATAGTGTTGGTTATTACATTTATTATACATCTGCCCAAGTCTACTGACTACTTTCTTCACATAATGTTTTTTCCATTATTTTTCTGTATTCTCTCTCAGCATATCCCATCAGCCTTGAGAATAATAAGAGGTTATGGTACAACAGGCAGTCAGTAGAGAGAAGAGTTGAAAAGTGAATTATTTGTGCTAAAGAGGCATGACTTTCCTGCTCCCGAATGACAGCAGAACATTAATTCTATTATAAGCAACAAGTTTTTTTAGCTAAAAGAAGTCAAATTCTCAGTTAAATCCTTGATGCTTTGCCTCTTTCACAGTTATTGCAGTGATTTATATCATTTCCCATCCTATCTTCTTGTGTTAAGAAGGGCATAATTAATTAATGTCTATGTCATTTAATTCATTTAGTATATATTAATTGTAGTTAACAAATGGCAAATATTAAGCTTTAAGTTTAAATTACAACTTTTTTACCATATATCTTATTAACAAAGTTGGATGAAAATTCAAGTACATTTTACAGAAAATACTTCAGAGTTTTGGGTGGGTAGCTGCAGCTAGTGTTACTTTAGAGAAAAGGAAGCGCATCCTTGAATACATATAATTTATTCCTGTTGAACATTTCCTTAAATTACATTGATAAAGATAAATAATATTGTCAGTTTTAAAATGTAGATGCATGAAGAATTGGGATTAGTGGATTTAGAAGTGGCTTGAAGTTGCTATGTGACATTACTGCTGTGGGCAGTGCTCTTGGGTGTGCTTGGTGATGAAGTAGCAAATTATCAGGATATTGTTAGTTGCTGGTTTCAAATCTGTTCAGGAAAAACGTTATTTTATCTCTATCAAAGGACATCAGAGATAATAAAGATTGGATTGGAAGAAAAATAACTTATGCTAAAAATTGTAATGTGGCATTTAAATTATGATGTCCTCGCTTAATGACAGCAACCAGTACCTGCTGGAGGCGCTATCCCTAAATGGTGCTGTCACATGACATCATACATTACAGCTGCAATGCTTGATGATGGAGATTTTAGCCCAGTTACTGTCATTATACAAAGGTTTTTGTTATTCCATCATGAAGAGGACAACAAATATCCTCAAATAATGATGAGAATTGGACTGGAATTTCCATCAGTAAGCACTACAGCTGTAATGTATGCTGTCTGTGACAGTGTACCGGTTTCTGCTGTTAAACAAGGACCATAAGCGAGGATGTCAGGTGAATGTGACTTTCAATTTCCTTCCAGCTTCTCCATTGATATTGCTTGTGGAAAGCCAACAGGGAAGGTCACAAATCACAATCATGTAATGCTGCACAGTCAAAAATATACATTTTTGGATATATGGTCTTGATATACAAAGTATTGTATTAAAAATTGTAATATAATTGTTAAATCCTTTCTGATTTTATAGCTTGCACATGCAGTGGTCATGCAAATATTTGTCACATGCAAACAGGGAAATGCTTCTGCACAACCAAAGGAATCAAAGGAGAGCAGTGTCAACTGTAAGTATAAATGATAAAATCTTAATTTAAATCTAATGTTTATGAATAGCTCGTACATTGAATTTAATTTAGTCACTATTTGTGAGGTGATAAATTTTCACTGCTAAATGAGCTCCTCTATAGCTTTCTTTTATATAAAACCTATTTTGTTGTTGTGATGTAAAAGGATGTTGCATATATTAAAGTTCAGCTTCAAGAATTATGTCTCTTAAGTATCATTAAGATACATTCAACTATTATATTTTCAAAATTATGGTTCAAAATACATAATATAAAAGTCTGGTTTCTTTCTGACATGTAATAATACATAATGCCAGAACTTATTAAAGTCTGGATCAATTCTGTTGCCAGTTTTTATTTGTAAGGAATCAAAAATGATCAAATGCCAATGTGTAGGTCAATACTTCTGTGATCCCCTTAATTTCTGTTTGCCTCAGCCTGAAAGGCCTTGGAAGTACAGCCTTCTTTGTGGTTATAGTACAGCATTTTAATGGTGCTTTGGAAGAAGGCTAAGTGTGATACAAGTGAAGTTGATGGAATAGAAACCTGTAGTCCTTAGGCTTAGGGCAGGTTTTATGTAAAGAAGTCCATGTGAACAAATTTAGTAATAATAAATCAAAACAGAAAAATAATGGAGCAAACCTGTAGTTATAGCATAATAAAGCTTAATCTCTATGCTTAAGTTTAACTCTTTTTGAACATTTCCTGAGGTGTTTAATGTAAATGAAAACACATTATATGGAACTGATACATCCTAATATCATAAGAAACATATTTAATATTTTATGATTCTTTATCATTGAGTGGATAACATAATTTGGTTGGATTACAGATAGTTTCAAATAGTTTCACTGGATCACAGTAACATTACATTTGGCATGATAGCCACAATAATTGCTAGAGGTTTTTGACATGTACCAATATATATATATCAGAAAAGCTTAAGTTGATCATTTAATAACATTTAGATAAATGCCATTATGATGAAACTGTTATATTAATATAGTGTTAATATGACAAACTATCTGGGTAATTCTCAAGAGTTTATGTTCGTTGATAACATAAAATTTCTGCTGACCATTTATTAATTTAAAAATGGGGCTAGTACCAGTGATATGAATCTGATGTTGGCTTTGTAGGTATGCAGGCATAAGTTACCCATTTCTAACATTCTGGAAATTCTTTTTCAGTATCACTTTAGAATTAATTTATAAAATGAAATATGCTTCTGCTTTAATTAGTGCCATTTTATTTTAAATGGAGGAATACACTGGCATCAGCATTAAATGCATGTATTACATTGATTCTACACCAAGGGGAATTAATTGCCGATGCATAATTATCTTTTAGAGACCCAGATTCTTGTAAATTTAGGTAAACATTTTATCTTTCAAAATGTAGCTAAATGATGCACAGTTAATTAATTATACTCATTTGGACAGTAAAAGTGTCTTAATGTACTTCAAATACTTCATATTTAGATTAATTCACCTTGTTCCATTGCCTTTATTTACTAATTTAAAAATGATCTGAGAGGACATGATTGATAGAAGAATGAATATTTAGCACTAATTCAGTGTCATCCATGATGTTCATTTCCTAGCAGATAGGTAGCTAAATCCATATGTAATATGAGTTGAACTGAACTTTCTTAGTTATAATTATGCTTGATTCTGCATCTGTCCCTTCTTTAAGCAGCCAATTTCTTTTATTGTGAATCAAATTATTCTGAAATTAACCTTTGTTTCTTTTCTTTAAAAATATCCAAATCTTTAATTTTTATTAATGGTGAAGTTAAATATAAAATCCTTTAAATGAGAAGCCATGGGACTGTCATATATCTATAACTTGATAATTTATCAAGTAAATTATCAGGTGGATAGGGAATTTTCAATATTGAACAATCAGTTGCTTAGTAACCAAATTACCGTACTTTATCTAATCTGTCTTTTCTGAAAATGATCAACTGCAACAGTTTTTACCTGCAGTAGGTAACACACAGAGAAGCCAGTAAATAGCCAGAAGTCACAAATAAGGAGATTATAATAAAAGGATTAAAAGAAATAAGCAATGAATTGGCATTCAGAATCTAGTTATGTGATTTCTTCAAGTTTCTAAATGCCAATTTTAGAAATTAGAAGAATTCTAGCAATATGACTCAGTTCTTAAATTGTATTTATAATTGGCATTTCTTTTACACATTCTGTTATTCCTGTGTATTTGAATAATGTCCAAAAGTGAAACTGACATTAGGCCGAAAAGAGAGCCGATATAGCGCTTTAGATTGAAACCTAGAACATTCAATCTGAGAACCTTCCCTTGCTAAGTGGTAATTAAGCTGGGAAGCTGAGATACTGTTGCACAGAATGGAATAGAAAACAAATAGCAGTTCAAGTTATCATAATTGGTACTTAAATAATAGCATCTGACACAGCTATAGAAAAGGGAATGGCAGGTGAAAAGGCCATAGAAGATATTACCTCCATAACTATTAAAAAGACCTTAATATTTTACAATTGCAATATTCTTACTTTTCTCCCTAAATAAATATATAATACCTTCCTGATCGCTGCACATATACAAGTAATGCTGCTTGTTGCAGAAAAATACATATGCTTTTAAAACAAAATATGTTTTAATATATTTAATAAATAAAATATTTAATATTTAATGAAATATTAAAACAAAATAAGTTGTAATAAACACCTGGAAATTATTTATTGCATTGAATGCTTAAATAGCTATTCTAGCAACTTGTGTCAAATTGATTTAATGTTGAAGTGTGATCATTCTATGGGTCCCCAGACAAATTTTCCATCTCTTAAGTGATCCGTAGAGTATATGAACTAATTTCTGTGAGGTATTCTTGAGGTTTATACATTCTTGTTTGTTTTTCTCTGGAAATGTCGGATCTAGAACTTGATCAATTGACCATGAATCACTAAGAAATTATGCTCTTCTCATTATTCTCAGCTAAATATATTAATATTCTCTATCAAGATGTATTCTGTTTAAGTTAGCATCTAGTGATGTGAGATTTCTATCTGTGGGGTCCTTGGTGGTCTCTGAGTATGGTTGTTTTCTTACAGACATTTCAGCACCCTAAGTCAGTAACATCATCAGTGCTGATGATGTTACCTAGTTTGGGTAATGAAACATCTACAAGAAAACAAGCATGCCTCATTTCAAACCTGAACTACAAATATTCTCCTCCGCTGATTTCTATGTATGATATGTAATTTGAGATGATAGTCAGTTGAAGCAAGAAATGCATACAAGCTTAGACATTATTTCTTATGTCAGAAAAGCTTTTTTGATAATTTTTTCTCTATTGTATGAAATCAGAAATATTAGTAATAAGAGTCAGAAAAAAGATATTTCTGACTCATGTATATAATGTGGTAAAAGTAATTTTATAATTCTTACTCATCTCTGATGTACAAAAGGTGGCCTCAGGATACTTTTAAAAATGCTTGGTGTACTGCTTTGAGGAATGAAGAAGCCAAAATATAGCCCTTTCTTGTTGTCTGTTTGCAAACATTAAATAAAAATAAAAGAAATAATCTACTTCCATTAGCTTTGATAGGGAACATTTTGAAAACCATTAAAAACAGAAAATATAAGCAATGTACTTCTTCTGTATGAAATTGTTTTTCTTACTACCAAAACAATTCAAACAAAGCTTTGCCTTGGTCAGGAGAAAGAAAATACCAATGCTTTTACTAGATGTTTAACTTGAAAATGCATTTAATGATATGGATCAATAAGATTTGATGGATGGTAATAAAGCCTGCTAGAAAATTTTCATCAGTTGTATTGCTCCTGTGTTTACTTAATTACATGTCATCATTTTTGTTTGGCTCCCAGTAAAAACAGTCTGAAATATTAGCTTAATTTAAATAGGAATAGAAAACATGAAAGGGGTGGGAAATAGTTTGTTCTTTAATCTGTCCTGTCATCCTAATTTTAATCTATTACATTTCATGTGATAATATATTCAGTGAACTATGAGTTGGATTTAAAACTTTATTATCATTATAATTATTCTGGTATTTCACATCTAATCATTGTATAAAGCACATAAAAAATATAAGTTTAAAAACATAAATTTATTCTAATCCAAAGCAATTTATCTCCCAAGAAGTTGGAAATAGAAGGTTATGAATATAAAGTTTGAATAAAGTCATTGTTCATGGTGATATGGAAAGCAAAACCAAATCTAGGAATTAGTATAATCTCAGTTTTCCCTGTGATTATTCTTAAGAAAATGCTTAAAAAAACCACTTTGATATTTGCAATGAGATAATGTAAGTTATGGAAAAAGAATACATAGATTTTGATATAGCAAGTACAATTTGAATTCCATCAAATTTTGGGTTCCACCAATTCTCTGAAAATAGATTTCTCCCTCATCAGACTTCAGTGTTTTCCCCAAATTTGTCTTATACAACCATTATTATATACAATCTTGATAACACTGATGTTTCTGGACAAGGTAAAAGTGCTCTAAATGTGTCAGAAGACAAAGGTTTTGAAAACTAGTATAAAAATGTTTTACATTAAAATTAATCCAGAACTAAAATAATGATTTTATTGTTTTCTAAAAATTGAAAAGTGATGTATGCTGTAGCTAGATAAGAAAAGAAACTGCCCTGTTTTATTTATGGAAACAGCTTCTTTATTAATTGGGTATGTAAGTATGGAGACACACAGGTTGGAGATAGGAAAGTTCCTCTTAATGGTTTTGAAAGATCGTTCCAAACTACATCATGCATGTTTAGAACAGGAAAGAAAATAAACTTGCTTTCATGAAGCAAGAGAAAAATACTTAGTTGAATTGGTATTGGAGATAGTATGTGTTTATTAGCAAGCTCCTAGTGTAGCAAAGATTGCTTTTTTCTTTTTATGCCTTCTAATGGATGTAATATGCACCACCTACTGCTATATTCATTTCCATTTTTCCCATCTTTTAGGCGAGCAGAGTGAAATGTGAATAAAGA